GGCAATGTTGTTGGGCCGTGGCAGAAACTAAAAATGGGCAAGGTTGCTTGGGTGGGGGGTTGGACTAGATGACCTACAAGGTCCCTTTCAACTCTGTTAATCTGTCTCTTAAAGGTAATCTTGTGCAAGCAGAAAAAAAAAATCTTAGCCAACTAACCTGAATTGAAATTTGGCAGTAGAATACATAGTACAACTTATTAAGGAAGCAAATTAGACAGAAACCAGTATTTTTTTTTTCATTTTTGCGATGCTGCAACATCCTGCTGGGTGCAGACACAGAGGACTCCTGAATTGCCATGTGTTTCTGAAGTTGTTGTTTTGTGCTCTGACAGAAGGCATGCAACGGCAGATCTATCTCAAAATTGTTCCTAATTTTGGAAACACAGCGGCATCTACTTGTTCCTTAGCATGAGACTTTCATACACCCAGACATTGGTTGACAAGCCTTGGGAAGTCATTGGGGCCCACAGCCAAGTTCCCCAGTAGTAATGGAATAGTTCTGATCATGAGCTTAGAGTAGCTACGCTGTTTCTAAATAATGCCACTGTGTGGACAAGCACACATGAAGCCGTTCTAATGCTAGTTGTTGAAGAGCTTCTTGGGAAAATCACCCCCAAATTTGGCTTTTCTCTGACAAGACCCTTTGACAGGAGACAGAACCAATTCATTTAAAATATCTAAATCTAAAATTTTCAAATGAATTAACAATTTTGTTAATGAGGCAGGGTATGTAACCATTTCTCCCTCTGTCCTGTAAATATATAGATTTATTGTCTACACTTATTGGTCCTCTACTGTAATATGATGTTGGCAAAGATATAATTTCTTAATATGTCCTACCCTAAATAAAGCAAAAATCAGGTAAAGTTTGCTTCTAAATGCTATGCTTGTCTAGGTACTACATGTTGTTTCCTAAATACTGCTTCAGTTTTAAAATTGTTATATTCGGGTAATAATGTCTTATAAGCTTCTGGGAGAACTTGCATCTGAAATTGGGATACACACATTTTTTTTAATAATAATTCTATTAAGATTTTAAATAAATAAATAAAATTTAATGCAAATATTATACAAAAGAAAAAAAATTGCATCAAAGCGAAAAGGTAAACTTCCATTTAAGAAAGTGATTCTCTCCACTCATCATGTCAAGTTCAAAATCTCTTCACCTCCTCTTAATTAACAAATATAAAACTTCTCATCCCAAAACTCAACTCTAATGGTAAATCACGAAAGTAACATCTCCTTTTATCAGCAAAAAGGCAAAACTCTAAAATATTAATAGCAAGAAACACATAGAAACCTTAACGGTCCTTGTCTCAACTCTCAGTTGTAAGGAAAATCCCATTCAGAAGGCATAAAAAGATACTGATAAACAAACAAAACATAAAGATTTGTACAAGAAAACCAAAAATAAATTATCCCTTAAAAAAGACAAGCACCAAAAGAAAAACATTTTTTCATACCAACAATTCCAAAGAAAATCACTCCAAATAGTAATATACCTCATTTAAATAAATGTTCCATATCTCACTTCTGGGATACACATCCTTTACAATAAGAGCTGAGGCCTTTTATTTCAATCCTCTCATGTTCTCTCCATTCTCTGCTACCCCTTAAACAACTGCACTAACTGATGCTGGATAATTGATTGGGATCGGGAATTGCCCAGAGCTTGTTATAAGATGAGTGGCTAGATTAATGTTTTAAATAAATAAATAATGGTTTAGCTTTGGCCAGCACTGGGATCAGGATCAAGGGTCTGCTTTTCAGTCCTGAGGGGAGATTTCTTCAGGGAATCTTTATCGCACATTAAAGAGATATTATTGCTGTGCTGCTCTAGTAATTTCTGCAATGCCGTAATAAATTTCCCTGAGAAACAGATAAAGCTAACATGAAAAAGAGTTTATTATAAGTACCATATTATTTATCTAGATAAATCCAGGATAAATAATATGGTACTGGGAAATAGGACTATGCCTTGCAGATGCTGTATTGTTTGACATGCTTACTAATCTGTGAATTGGAAAGTCTCTGCTTAATAAAAAATCTACGATATTTCCAAGTTTTAAGAGTGGGAGTATTCTATATACCTGCAAACACCCAAATATCAACCTAACTAGTTCTTTTGGTGCTTGTGACGCTCTTTGCCACCGTTTATAATATGTATTATATTAAAGTAAGTTATTTTAGAGTCTACTACCACTTCCAAATAATGAGACAAGTTGTCATGTTGTAACATATAACATGAAAATCCAAGCTTCTCTTATCACCAAGAATATCTCTGCCCCACATGAGTTCTCAAATGCATTCTTAGACAATAAAAAGATGGGTAATTACAATCCATTGCAATCCACGTATTAGTGCCCATTTGCCCAGAAAAAAGACAAATGATAAGATAGAATATTAAGGATTTTCCTTCTTCATCAGAGAAGTGTTTTATAAGAGTAATCACAACAGTCTCTCAAATGCCCTGTTAATCCTAAAGAATTTGAGATTAGCAATTTATGGAAGGAAAAAACAAATGTACATTTGCCTGAAAGACAAATAAATCCACCATCTCAAAATTTCAGTCATTCCTTGCCTGTCTCTTTGTGAATATCTTGCAGAGATATTCCAGAACCACAGAAGTATTTCAGTTACTTTGTCAAAGTGAATGCTGCTTAATTTTAATATTAGGCACTGAACAATTGAGAATATGAGTGCAATTTTGTTCATGTTAAAAAGTTCAAACTCAGAAGTAAATGGATTTATACTTTACAATAAATATTATTAAATAAATTGGTAATCATTTGAGGGGTCCAGATTAAAATATATATTTCCATCTGTGCAAAAAGACCTATCAACCCTTGGCATGCTAGAACAGATGCTTTCAGAGTGGAATAGTATGGGATAGGCCTTGACTTATGATCATTTGTTTAGGAACTATTCAAAGTTACAATGCCATTAATAGAAGTGACTGTTACTTGCATTCACAACTGTTACAGTGACCCTATCATGTGATCAAAATTCAGGTGCTTGGCAATTAACATGTATTTATGATGGTTGTGGTGTCCCAGGGTTATATGATCACCATTTGCAACCTACCCAGCTGGCTTCTGACAAGCAAAGTCCATGGGGAAAGCTGGATTTGCTTAACAACCGCTGATTCACTTAACAATTACGATGACTTGCTTAATGATCACAATAAACACTTAATGACCATCTCACTTAGCAACAGAAGTTCTGGTCCCAATCATGGTCAAAAGTCAAGGATTACCTGTAGTTTTAGAAGCATCCATATCAATTCAGAAATCATACCTTTTCTAAGAATTCATTCATTGATTTACATTCCTGCACCACAAGCAAATCCTTATAAGATGACTCAAAAATTGTTCATGAATAATTGTGCATAATCTCTTATTGTTATTTTAGAAAGTGTTAATGGAAGAGTCTGAGTTTTTATCTAAAATCACCTATTGAATTATGGTAGAATTAAGTTTTCATTTGGTTACTTCCTGCTTTAAATCATATATTCCTAGTCTTAAGTGACACCAACTGTTATCTTCTTACTGACTCCAACCATTATGCAACCTTTGTATTCAAGACAGATTAAATTTGCCTGCACCCTCTTTTGGAGGATGACTTGCTCATATTTGGCACTGCAACTGCCTTCAGTCACTGTTGTATATCTGAGATGCATCCAAAGAGATGAGAATGAAGAGGAGTTGAATATATCCTGGAAGATGAGAAAGATTCACGTGATAACCACACAACAGAACTAATGAGTAGCCATTAAATATGAAGAAAGAGAACAAGTAAAATAGAAATGAAAATATATAAGCATATAACATGCACAACATCAGATAAAGAGCAGATCAAATTACAACTTCTTTCTGATAACTCACTATGATGAGCCAACCTTAACATTATCTTAACAAAGTGTTTATTTGTAATTTGGCCAAGACAACTTCCATTGTAAACTTGTGGAACTAACGTATTGTAACCGGATACAATTGCATTTTACCTACCTGAAGTTCCATTTTTGCTTCTATTTCTCAAATAGCCTGCTGGTGTTTTTTTTTATTTCTGACTGTGTTGTAATGTAAAAACACTGGCATCAACACATGAGTGGTCCTCCAAAATTTGTGCATTGTGTTTTTATTACTTCCCACACACATAACCAAAGTTATGACTTGGGAATAGCTCATATATTCCTTGCCATCCTTCCTGTTCTTCTTTTCACTAAAATTTCTCTTTTTCCTTCCTAGCATTTCCCAGGATCAGCTTTTAGGTCGATATAATTAAGTAAGCCCTAGAACAGTTTTACAAAAACCTGCTTCAGGTATTGCTTTCAAACTTTAGTCAAACTTTGCCCTGAATCGGATGAAGACTTAGTAAGTACGGTTGGGAGGTTGAACAAGGCAGCATCAACATGGGTACCTACTGTTTCACTAGGCACTTCTGGAACCAATAACTCTATATTACCTGGAGCAATTTAAACACTGTTAGATTCATATGGGGGAGGAAAAGCAGACAGTTAACAGAACTACACCCAAAATAAGGGCTTAAGTGAGAGAAATATATTAATTCATGACCTCAAATTTCCAGTACCTAGGAAAAGGTAAATGCAAAAACAGAAATTGCACATGCATGTTAGTGTATCGTTTTTATGTTTCTGGTATGCATTTGGAACCAGGGCACAAGAAGTATAGCTCATCACAGTTCCATTGACTTGCGCTGGCAAGACACCAATACGTGCTATTTTCAGTTCAACAGTGCTCCAAGCATTAGCAGAAAGAAAGGAAAGGGGCACTTACACAGCATATTGAAACAAATGGATTGCATAGCCAATTTATTGCCTTTGTTGGAATGCTCTCGTTAGACTTCAGGTTCAGGCAGATACATTTGGAAAGCTTGCTCTTTTTTAAAAATTAGTCTGGCCTCGGGGGCTGAGCATGCTGGCATGGGGAAGCACAGGCAGCAAGGGATGAGGAGGGGGCAGAAGTAGGGCAATTACTTACATTGACAACCCTGGTTGTGCCAGTTATATCCCCGCAGACACTTATCACACTTAGGCCCTGTTGTTCCCTGCTTACACTCACAAATTCCTTTTCCATTACAGCGATCATGGACTGAGCCCAAACGGTTACAATTACATTCTGCAGAAACAAGATAACAAACATAAACGCAGTGCCATGGTCATAAGTAATGCATCACTGAAATGAGTAACACGGTTCACTTTGTAAATATAATGCAAGGTTGAGGTGTTTGTGGTCTTTTAGTTGATTCTGGGTTTCATCAGCTCCAACCAGTATAGCTAATGGTCAGTTATGGTCAATGCTGAAATATAATGATCGGCATTATGGAGTTCAGCTACAGAAGACCATTTAAAGATGATGGAAAGGGGAAAAAAATCCATGCATGAGAGCCTGCCTGTTAATCAGTTTGCGATATTTGCCTTTAACTAAAGGATATAGATATGTAAATGAGCCACATTTAAGGTGGATCCCACCAATCACAGCACTACAAAAGTATAGCCCTTCCTTCTTTCGTACAGAAGTGAAGGGATTAAGATTGAAAGAGAGAGGGAAAGAAAAGGCCTGACAATAAATTCCCTATTGCACTTTGAAATTAAATATGAATTCCTATCTGCAAATGCTGGCAAGTTACTTAATGAATGATTTTCATGATGGAGTCAGAAGATGGTGTAGAAATAAAACAAGGAATGATGTCACTGCTGTCTTCAAACATAGTTTAACTCTCCAATCTGATCTTCATGTTTATAAGAGTTGTTTTAATGAACATCAGGTAAGCTTGGCATTTCAAGAAACATCAACAGATCATCAAGTAAAGTACATTTTGAATGATTAAACTAGAGAAAGGAAGGTTCCCTCCTCTGTACATACTGTAGTATTGAATCGTTTCCGCAGGCAATGAAAAGATACTTTAAGCATCTCCAGAATAATCTTTCTTTATAGTCACAAGGACTAATTGAATTTATTCACAGCATTTTAGTGTTTAGAAATTACTGGCACTGGATTTTGGGTATTATTATTATGGTTTGTCTTACAATCAGCCAGATGTTTACACTAGATTTGGATTTTTCATACACCTATCAAGTCCTTCCCAAGGATTGATTGATTGATTTATGTCTGCCGCTATAGTCTCCATATCCTTCCTTTTAAGATTGATGTTTTTCAGGTCTTCCTGTAATGTTTGGTGCCCAGTTTTCTTTGGCTTCCTCATTTTCTCTGAATAGTATAGTAGTATGTAGTATGGTAGTATCCAATTGATAGTATGGTAGTATCCAATTGATTGTGTTATTTGCTGGATATTGTTCACTCACATGGAGCATGTGTCCAGCAAAGCACATTCTTCATTCAAGGTTGTTGTTATTATTATTATCATGATCATCATCATTATTAAAATATTAACATTTCCATTACCTTGGAAAACTTAAATAAGTACTAATAGGATTAATTAATTAGATTAATTTTTAAGAAGATTAGTTAGCAGGAAATTTAATTTAAGTTTAGCTTTTCTGTTATTGTGTAAAACATAAGGACATTGAGGTGGACAATAGTTAACCTTATGCATATTTTAACAATAGCACTTCTCTAATTAAATATTATATTGGTTGCAACACTTTTAATTTCAGCCTTAAGAAATATATACTCATATTTGGTTCACCTTTTACCTCTAAATCTCTGAATAACCCTCTGGAAGAGCATAATTACATAGGTCTGCTGTTAGATCAACTCTCATTAAGGGTTGCAAGCCACCAGTAGGAGGGAAACAGGGAGAGGGAAGCCAATTTTAGAAGCTGATTAGGCTGCTCGGAAAATGGCACTCGCTTCTGAAATGATGCCAAGTGGCCCAGAGACATTGAAGGGCAGAATACATGATCGTTGCTGGAGGTGGGGTGGGAAGGCCTGAGGAGAGAGTGGAGAGGAATGTTACTGCAGCATCCTGTGGTCAGTTGTAACAGCAAATGGCCATGGAGTTGGCTGCAGTTGCCATAACTTTGAAATAGAATCATATATATCCTTTGCATGGCCTTTGTAACTTCAAACAGTTGCTATGTGACCAATTGTGAGTTCCACCTATATATTACACTTTCATCTTTTCTCTAAACTAAAATGTCCAGGCATTTGTAACTTTTCCTTGATAATTTTGGTTGCTTTCTTCCTAAAGTTTTCCAATTCCATAGAAAGTTATTTATAATGAATAGAACTATACACATGTGGGGCACCCATGGGTTTTTAAAAAATACATTATACTATTAGCAATAATGCTAAAAGTGATCCTTTCAAAAGGAGCCTTTTAGGAGGATATTGCTCTTTGCAATGGATGCAACAAAAGTTTGCCTAAATATTTTTTTCCTGTTTGGTAATTGAGAAACCATCTTTATGGCTGTAAATTCCCAGTCCCTACTGTCAATAACGATACATTTATCAATTTATACTGTTTTAATGCAGTTTAAAACAACAGAAATACTTTTATTGTACCTTCCCTAGATTAGTTTCCTGCTTCATTTAACACTTCTTATTGGTTTTTCTGGAATATTTTTTCTTTAAGAATTTGATTTTGATTGCAAATACTCCTGTGTGGATAGAATTTATATTTCAGGATAACAATAACTTTGCCTACAGTTATTAAACAGTAAGTTCCTCAGGTATTTCTTTTGAATCCATGCTATGTGAAAAACATTATTATTATTTTTTTTTAAAATGTTCCATTGACATTTATTTACTGGAATTTGATTACAAATCAGCAAGAGGAGAAAAAGAAAAGCAGAAAGCTAAAAGGTGATAATTCTACACTGCAAGTAGAAAAAGTTTAAGGAGAATTCACTCTAAAAAGCAAATATTACATGCTGTGTAACTTTTCAGAATCTATGAATTACAAATGACACTTACAATATGTGATTTGAGAGTCACTATAAATTCAGAATAACAATGTAATACAATCTCATTTAGATATCTGTCACTCTAGACTACAGTTACGGGTAATTATTTTTATATAATCTGAACTCTTAAGCACAAAAGGTTTTGCTCAGGTTTTCCAGTTGAAGTAATGCTAAACTAGATAATTATGCTAAGAATGCTGATTGTCCCTCAGTTTTTTCTAGAAAGGATACAACTAGCCAATAATTTAAAACAAGCATTAATGTTAGGATTACTCTCTTTTTAGAAATATTGTTTATAATACTACAATTATTCTTTCAACTATGGCTGAATATAATACTTGCTTTTCAAATAAAAGCATTTTCTTTTCATTTTTTCTAAGAGCCAGTTTATTCAGTTTTTAGGAATTGTGCAAGCACAACCTATTACACATTGATGCTTTTTTCATGACTGGGGACATACACAATGCACATCAAGTTCATAGCACTATTTAGATAATAGAAACTAGCCCATGGGAACTGGATTTAAAGTTATAATCCAATGCCATTTGCTTGGAAATCTGAACAAAATAAATGTGCGCAAATAAAACTAATATAGTGAAAGATGATAAAATGATACAAAACTATATTTAAAATATTTCACTATTTATGACCATGTACATTTTGTATTTTCATGCACTCCAGGTGGTTCTTCAGTTTTTAATGAAGTTGTTTGTACAGATGTCTGTACACACGTGCACTGTGATGCTTTTTGATCACATACTACTAAATACATGATGGCTATTGTCGCTGAAATTTACTAAAGGAATGTTGCAAATATTGGATTACAGATTATAATTTAAGTGCTGCTGTATCCTAAAGGCTCCTAAATTTCATTAAAACACAGCTTTATTAAGGTTTTGAGGTAATTTTGAAAACTAGTTCTAAAAAATGCAATCAGTGGAATTGCTGAGAATTGTTACTTTTTTTCTGAACATTTCTCCCACCTTTTATTTGTTTGCTAAACTAAAGTAAAAGGTTGCTTATTTACTTGGATAGTGTTTACTTTAGGAAGGACATGTGCTGATTGAGACAAATTCACCATTCTTTTGAATGTTCTTTTCAAGTTCAACAGGATTTATTATCTATTAAGAATCTTGGGATTTCAGGATAGTACATCACAAATCTTTGGTATATACTCAGAAATGCTAAAGCTTAAAAGGAATTATCAATGTCATGATTGCTAACTATGTATATTACAGGTAATCCTTGATTTACAACAGTTCACTTAGTGACTATTCCAAATTATAGTGTCACTGAAAAAAGTGACTTTTGATCATTTTTCACATGACCGCTGCAGCATCCCCATAGTGACGTGATCAAAATTCAAATGCTTGACATATTTTTTGGTTCATATTTATGAGATTTGTAGTGTCCCAGGGTCATGTGATCACCCTTTGTGATCTTCTGACAAGCAGTGGGGTAGCCAGATTCACTTAACAACCACATCACTAACATAACTTCAGTGATTCACTTAACAACTGTGGCAAGAAAGATCATAAAATGGGGCAAAATTCACTTACCAAATATCTTACTTAGCAACAGACATTTTTGTGCTCAATTGTGGTCATAAGTCTAGGACTACCTGTAATAGCTTCTTTTTTTTGGGGGGGGGGTAAACAGATCTATAGAGAAGGCAAAAAATACTGTATGATATTCAGCCTTTGCACAAAGGAGCTATATGGGAAATGAAGGCAGAAATCAGAATAGTTAATCAGAAGTTGAATGGTTTGGATTAGATCTAAGTCACATTGCTTCAGGTTCTGAAACAATTGCATCTTCTGTTACCTTAAATCGATTCACTAACCTGTCCATTGCAATAAATAAAATAAAATAAAATAGCTACAATAATGAATCTTGTTAGAAGCAATAAAATGCATTGGACTGATAGATGCAATTATAATCCAAGCATGAAATGGTGTAATTGAAGTACATTCATAAAGAATATTGTATAAAATTTTCTGATGTACAGTTGAAAAGCCACATTGAACATCTTGAAGGTTTTTTTTTTCTTAAAAAAAGAAACCTTACTGTCTAAAATCAACCGAATGCTATATTTTTTATAATCTGGCTCCTTAAAAGAGTCACTGTTTAAGTTGAAAATATATAATTGATTCCTAGTCAGTGTTTGTAGATAAGTGGCACTCTGTAGCTCAAATGTAAATGCTTTACGGTTAAGATTTCCATTTCACTGCATTTAATTAATAGTATTTCAAGCTCCAAAGAAGTACATACTATATTCCACATAAGTCTACAGAATCCTGTCACATCAAGAAGTGGGAATAGATAACAAATAATGATCACTGATTTAAATTCACGGCAGGTTGACAGTCCAGATGACCTTCTGATCCAGTAAGGTACAGTAGTCTAAGAAAATCAAAAGGTAGGATGAAGGTGATAATAAGGATGATAGTAGATGCAACAGTGATAATAACACCAATAGTTATATCACATTGCTTAGAAAACTTTCCTTACTCACTGTAAAAATCAAGTATTTATCGAACATGCGACAAATTTCAAGGTGGATTTCTACATAGGCAATTCTTTTGGGAGGAAGCAGTAAATATTGGATATGAAGTTCATCATATATACTTGCAGAAATAATGAACAGGTAGTCCTGATAAGCTGATGGTGAATAAGAGAAAGGGTTTTTATCTATCCAAAATGGTGTGCCTATAGAAGAAGACTCTGTTCCAGGGGTGGGATTCTACAGGTTCGCACCTATTCTCTAGAACCGGTTGTTAACATTCTAAGCAGTTCGGAGAACCAGTTGTTAGAAGAAATTACTGGCCTAATCCTGTAAGGAAGGCAGGAAGGAAACATTCTGGTATTGCTTACAGAAACTGTTTCTCCATTAACTCTTATTACGTTCTTGGCAGGACTAGACTACCTGTCTCAGGAACTTCTCTGGAGTTTTTTTCCCCTCCTTTGTGGAGTGACCATTCAAAGTTACAATGGCACTGAAAAAAGTGACTTATGACCATTTTTTACACTTACAACTGTTGCAGCATCCCCAGTCATGTGAGGCCAGGCGAGGAAATGTGTGCCTTGATGTGAGTGATATTGAGTTGACCACACCCAGCCAGTCACATGACCACCAAGCCATGCCCACCAACTAAGCCACGCCCACAGAACCGGTTGTTAAAAAATTTGAATCCCACCCCTGTTCTGTTCCTATAATTAGGTGAACTTGATACTTAGACATGCATCATATGTGAAACGGTTCTCTTTTGATGTTATTCCTCTTTGCATTGTGTGTCTAGTAATGAAAAAAAAAACAGTGATGGGGAATGTTTATAAGAAATATTTTGGCCATCTTTTTAACTAGTTTTTTTTAAGGAGATGGACTTTATGTTTTGCTATTTCTTATTACTAGAAAGATTTTACATTCTCTTGTATTTGCTCAAAAGGAAGATAATCCTAAATTGAAGATGATCCTAATCAAAAATAAAAGGTAACAGGAAAATAAAAGAAAAATATAAGTTCTACATTAGTCATCCTATGATTGTCAACCCTGGCTGAAACCAGTCTTGAGAAATCTACCCTCTCCTGCACATACAGTACACTTATAAATGTGTGCATCTGCCAAAAGTCATACTCCCCAGATAAAAGTATGAATGATCATTAATTAAGAGTATTACTTGTAAAATAAGGAGCCCAATTTATAAAATTGATTCCTCCATCTGAATACAGCAACCTTTCTCTCTCCCATACAAATCGTTCACATAGAAAAATTAATGTTCTTCTCTTTCTAGGAGAAATGAATAATAACAAGGCCATAAAGCTAAGGAGAAGATGCACTAGGAATGGAAAAAAAGAAAGGGGCAGGAAATTGGATACAGATGAAACACTGAAATAATTTATTGAAAAGAGGAAAGCAATTACAAAATGGGTTAAATTCAGCAGGCAGGCAGCTCTGCTCCAAAATATGGCTAATCTTCAGACTAATATTTAAAGACGTCTATATAATATGCAACCATTTTCACTTCTACCCATTTGCTTGGTTTTCAACAGCTTCTTCTGTTTATCTCAGTGAATAAAGAAGTTTTGTCCTCCATTTATAGTTAATGATTTTTGGGAAGCAAGACTTATTTTGGAGCACTTCTTATTGAGTAAACATGGTTTTTATTTCAATATAGCCTGGTATTATATTTATTTCACATTACTATGAAGCTATCTGACCTGGTGCTCAAAATTTGCAGTAATTAAATGTGTGTTATTATATAATATTAAATAATATGTCTGTGCTGCAATGTTTGAATCATATAAAATATTTTAATAAACAGAATCAAACCCCCAATAGCAGGTTTTAATGTACTAATCTGAACTTTGCCATGATGTTCAATAAACCATAGTTGAACTACTAGTAAAGATCTTTTTTAACAAAATGAAGAAATATCTACAATAATTAATCATGGCCATTCATACTTCTTACTTAATCCAGCTGTGGATTCAGTTCTAAAATCAAACATATTTAATCACACATCCTCACTGAAAAAGCTTATTCTGGCTTAGATGGCAAAATTAAAAAGATGGAAACATCTTATTTCAGTACCAATGGATTCCAAACGGCTAAAAACAGGCAGAGAACAAAATGCCAGAATTAGAACATAACTGACCTATGCATACATTTTCATCGTCCAGCTTTGCAGAAGCATTTCTGTAGTAGCCCAGCCTGCACAACTGACAGTGGTACCCTCTAGTGTTGTGTTTACAGCTCACACAAATGAATGTACTGAGAAGATCGATGTAACTGCACCGGTTGGAGTGGCCGAAGCATTCACAGTCTTGCAAGGAAGAACAAAAATGTATACAAAAGGGTATATTCTGTAATAGACTCTCAGCAATTCACATGTTCTTCTTTTCTCAAAATAAAAAGTTATGACACATGAGCAGGTTATGAATGAGCAGCAGGACAATACATTTATGAACATCATGGTAGCATATGTGGACAATGAGAGAGGCTATGAAGATGGTATCTCTCTTCAGGCAGGAGAGAACGATGAGATATCCATATCACAGCACTGAGGATAGCTTCATCTAGTCATAGATCTAGTGGAGCCAAAGCATTTATGTTTGTAAGCCTTTTGCTAGTTTTGTGTGCACAGGTTCCGGTAACACAAACTCTGGTGGTTTTGCCAGAATTGATATTTGCCTGGGATTTTCTCATGTTACTTTTACATTGCTTCGATGACAACTGCAATACAACATATTCCAGAAAGTAGCAACATGGTCATCTTCAAAGAGGTTGAATCAAAGGTGCTTTTTCAAAAGGCAAGAAGCTTTTTCTGTTCTGCGGAAGATCTGAAGAAGTTGCTTAGATGAGATGCAAAACATCTTCAAGCAAACAAAGAAAGTCCAGTTGCCTTTTGAAAAAGCACTTTTGGGACAGCCACAACCTCAGTGACTGAGAATCTCCACAGACATTCTTCAAAGATTGGCTATACAGTATTTATTATCCAGCAAAAGCACCAAGTATATTTAGGCCTAACATCTGACCTGATGATAATCACCAGTAATGTGTAATATTAATGATGGTTCTATGTTGAAATGTGTCTGCCTTTGAAGACTGTTTAAGCGTATCAATTCAAAATACAGCCACTTGCTTGCTGAGGAAGACCAGAAATATGATTTTTATTGTGTCTGTCCTTAAATGCTCCTGATTCTTTCCTGGGCTCAGTTCAAAAGGCTCTGAGCTAAGGAAATATAAAATGTTCCATCATGGAATGGAACTGAAATAGACCACTCAGATTTTGTAAAGGGATTGTTTAGGATTACAGCATTCTTTGAAGGAACATTTTACGGCTATGTGAACTATGACTAGAGCTTAAAACCAAAATATCCAGATTGACTGACTATGTACTAATCTGCCTTTGGGGGGATTTCTTAAGAACTCTCTACCCTTAGTTTTCTGGAAAGCAAAGGCAGGAGGGGGGCGGGGGGAAAATGCTTTCAGACTTGCAAGAATCCAACCTTACAGTAAAGATACAGGTAGCCCTCGCTTACTGATTGCCTTGTTTAATGACTGTTTAAAGTTACAACAATGTAAAAAAAAATAGCTTTTTGATTTACACCATTGCAGCATCCTGTGTTCACTATTGTGGGTGCTTTGCAATTGGCTTGCAACAAGCACATTAATAAAGAATGCAGAAGTAAAATGCAGAAGCCATGGGCAGATGATGTTCGATTTAATGGCCAAACAGGAAAGGAGGTCATGAACCTCTCCTGGTCACATGGTTTTTTGCTTAGCGTCTGCAGTGCTTGCCGACTGAGGTGTCGATCCCAATTGTGGTTGCTAAGCAAGGACTACCTGTTGTATTAACACTTATGGTTTTGGTTTCCTGCCTGGATTAGCTTAAAGGGCTGACAGACTCTCTTTCTCAGTCCAAACTAACTCATAGGATTATTGTAGGGATCAGCTGGGAGAACAGAATGCTATGCCTGCTGCCTTCAAATAACCTAACAAATAAATAATAAATACTTTTAATTTTGTTGGTTTGGCCTGTGGGGGCTTTTATCAGTTTTTTCTTAAAAACATTATTTTAAAGGTTATCTCGCTTATATAATTTTAGGTTATGTACTAGAATGCTTAAAGTGAAAAAAGATACATGTGATCGATGTGATATGATTATTTTTATTTCCACCTTCATGTCCAATGCCTCTCATCACATGTTTGTCCTGTCTGTTCTCCCCAAAATTCCAATAATGAATCAGAATGAATGGAATTAAAGTTACATCTACTGAAAAAGGACGTGGATGTTTAATGTCCATGCAACACTTTAACTGAAGCTATAAAGTTTGTCCTGTAACATCATACCCACTTAATAGGCTAAAAACCCAATAAATAAACTAATTCATTGGAATGCAGTACATTATATGACACACCACATTAAATACATAGTAAGTTACTTCCTAGAAGTCAGAATAAGTGCGTGGAGGCCAGGTGAGAGATGGGCTGTATATAGCTTTCATAAATAAACATGAATTGAGAACACTGCACAGTTAAGACAGATCTCAGTTCATATCAACCAAGTCTTTTTTAAAAAATAAAAAGTGTCTTAGCCCAATACCTGTGGATATGAAATTTATAAAACAGAAAGAAAATAATGATATTTTCCATTCATGTGGTGGCTTTGATACCCTTTGTGTCATATTATATAAAAATCCATGTTAAAATAATGGGTAGAGGGACAAGAGAACAAAGTTCAGATAAAAGGAACCTAAGTCTAAAGCAGAAATGTAAATGAAAATGTCTCAGACAATACTCTCCTTCATTCTCATGAAGATAAAGCAGTTTAGTAAAAGAAATCCTGAACTGTGGCACTGATTTCTTAGTCTACCTTGAAGAGCTGACAGCTGCACATTTCATACTTTACATAACTCTCTTTGATATCCAAGAGAACACAAGATACAAGAAACCAGATTTTCCACAACCTTTCAAAACAACGGTCATCACTTTTTGCCAGGACTGTAGTCAGATCCTTATGTTTAATTTCATAGAAGACTAAGGAAAAGTAGCTTGATAACAGATGCCTAGGAAATTCATAAATCAAAATCAGTAGGATCTATTTCTCATACTATTGCAAGAACATTTGGCTCAAAAAGTGACATGGGTTTGGACAGATTACTCAGCTGGAAATGCACAGTCCAAAATGTTGTAACAAGGAGATACCTCTTCTGCTTGGTAACATTTTAGGGAGGATAAAACTAAAATTTTACCAAGCAGAAGAGTTAGTAATTTCTAGAAAGTTAGAGAGGATAAAACTAACTTTCTAGAAATTGCTGAACTATATGTCTAAAGAGATAATACAAATTATATCAACTTATTTGTCAGCAGCTTAGCATGTTTCTCACTTAATGCCTTGAAAATGATCCATTCACAATTGTTATTTTCTAACTAGCAAGTTGTTATATTTATAAAATGGGAAAATAAGGCACCCAAGGCCATCCATACCTCTAATATTAGCCTGGAGGTACCCGAGTTTCCATCAATTAATGTCTTAATGAAAGCATTTTAAGTATGAGTCATGCTCCCCATTCTACTTTATAGCTGATCAATCATATCTGTTTGCTAATGACAACAGAGCCCCAAGGAACTGTTTCTGAAATGGCAGCTGATTTCTACTGCCTTTGAACTAATGCAGATAATATAGGAAGAGACTGAAGGGTTTTCATTGCCAGACCACTGCTGTACAAATTTAGGAGAGAGGGTTAATCATCTCAGTTTATAACACTGGGACCATAAAGCTCAATTAAGTGCCATTGCCTTTGAATTTGTAAAGCTGCTTAGCAAATTATAAGGGTCAGTGTCTCTTGGCAATTGGTACAATTGACTTTTGAAGTACAAAGCCAAGAACAATAGTGATATGAATGACAGCAGTGCTTATCTGATGTTCTTCCCAGTACAAAGTGGTGGAATTTGTTTCTCTCTTACTTTTAAGACAATCCCAACAATGGATAGTTCCTATGTCATCCTGTCAGCCCTTCCTCACCTTTCTCTGAGCAAATTCTGACCAACTATGGGTGGGAATAGGAGAACAAACAATTGATCTATGTGGAACATTTTCTCTTATGAGTGTTGAATGGTTTCAAGAGTCAAATCTTGGTCTAAATCAGTTCTTTTTTTTTGGGGGGGGGGGAGGCATTGGAGTCATTGTAATATTTTGCAAATGTAAGGAAAATGTGTACAGGCAGTTTTTGACTTGCAACCATCAAGCAGAGAACCAGCCTAGAATGAAAGAGAAATTTCCTGACAGTTAGAACAATTAATCAGTGGAACAACTTCCCACCAGAAGTTGTGAATGCTCCAACACTGGAGGGTTTTAAGAAGAGATTGGACACTCATTTGTCTGAAATTGTATACGATCTCCTACTTTTTTTTTTAAACAAGTTTTATTGATTTTACAAACAAACAAAACAAAACATCATTAAACATTAAAAACATAAAATCTCTTTCCATTGTAAATCTTTACAAGGCAGGTAACACATTGCTTTATATCACATACTTATAATTTATCCCATTTCCATATAAACACGTAAATTCCCTTTACCAAATTCCACATTGTTTCTCTTTAATCATTATTCAATCATATTTCCTTTCTAATTTATCTGCTATTCAATCATCACATTTATATTTTCCTCTGGCTTGTTTATAATTGTTCTCACCTAGTCTTCCTCCGAGATTTTATTATTTAATTCTTAATTAAACACACACACATAAGACATAAACATAAAAACATAAAACTTTCTTTTAGAAAGTAACTTGGCCCCAGATTGCCTCTTTTTGTATGGACTTCAGTTGAATTCATGCTCTTCTTATATACCATTACCTATCTTGTTTACCATTCTATATCTATTATATAACTCCTCTCCACTTTTCCCTTGTCTTAATTCTGTTTTATATATTTAATCTTGCTTTAAAGAAAAATATTTTTATATCTTTTGTCCATTTCTCTATTTACATCTGTCTCATTTCCAATATAAAAAAGAATAGTTTCCCCTGGAATCACTAATCAGAGTATGATGCCTTTCTATCATTCCCCTAAATTAAAATTTAAAATAACACCTAAATCCCAATCAGATTCTGCTTAGTACATTCTACTATTTCAAAAACCAATACTACAATAATAAATCCATAACAGTCAACACATTAATCCATTAAACTCTATATTTAAACTAATATTTTAAATATTCCCTTTAGTATTTTATTAAAACTTAAAATCATTCATTATTAAACATTTTAAAGTTATACCTTAATATTTTAGTCTTTTATTAGATCTTAAAAAGT